GAAGGAGAAGGAGAAGGAGAAGGGAGAGGGGAGGAGAAGGGAGAGGGGAGAGGTGAGAGGACAGGGGAGAATGAGCGATAGGGGAAAGTGAGGGAGAAGGCAAAAGGATGAAGCAACATGGAGGGAGAGGGGAAAGAGGAAGGTGAGGGGAGAAGGAAAACGATGGGAAAAGGAAGGAGAGGAAAGGATGGACGGGAGGGATGGCGGAGGGGGATCTGGAGGAACGTGCTGTGAAGAGGCACGGGAGGACGAGGAGGGTAAGAAAAGGAAAGAGGGAGGAAAGCGAGGACCGAGGGAAAGGCAGGGAGAGAGGGCAGGGAGAGAGGGCAGGGAGAGAGGGCAGGGAGAGAGGGCAGGGGATTCCGAAGGCGAGCGGAAGACCAGCGCTGCAGACGCTTTACGAGCTCTGGGAACTAATCGCCTGGGTCCGGCCACGACCAGCAGCCCCGGAGGATACCTGGGCGAGCGCCGAGACGCAGGAATTTACGACACGAATCCTGTGGACTTGGGAGAAGCGGCGGAGTGACACGGGGGGGGGGGGGGGTGACTGGGGAGGAAGACGGAGGAAGATGGGCATACGGGCATACGATCGGCATGGGCATGAGGATGCACGTGGCAGGCATACAGAGCACCTGGCGAGCACACGTGACATGCCTGCAACACACCTGTGGAATGCTAGAGGGAGAGATGGAGAAAGGGAAAAAAGAGGGGGCGATGGAGAAGGGGGGGAAAGGAGAGGGAGTGAGGGGTAAGGGAGAAAAAAAAAGAGGAAGAGACGGAAAGGGGGGAGGGAGGGGGAAATGCAATTGTCTTCGCCATCGTCTTTTCCCCAAAAAAACGCAGCAGACTCTTAAAAAAATAAGAAAAAAAAGAAAGCCCGTATGTATATTTGCGTGTGTGTCTGTCTTTCCGCCATCTCCACGGGCAGTACGAGATGACCGGAGGAGCTGGCGAGGAAATGAAAGGGCTTCCTAACACTGAAAATATTGGGGAACACGGCAAAAGCTCTACGGCAGAAGCTCAAGAACGGAGATGAGTGACACCTACACCTGAGAGCGAAGGGACAAGCCTATCGCCGTCTCCCTTCCGCCCTTCGAACGTCCACATGGATTAAAGGAGCTCAGCATCCACAATTATCAATTCCCGTTTTCTTTGTAATATGAATCGTTTCCCGTTTTCTTTGTTACATGAATCATTTCCCGTTTTCTTTCTTTCTTTTCGAATGGATCACGATCTTTTTTTTTTTCTTAAAATTATTTTCAGTTTTCGTTTTATGGGGGATCATTTCCCGTTTTCTGTTTCTTATAAAACACTGAAATGCCATTCCGGTGACACTGAGAAAACACAGACCTCCCGACAAGATATAGGAATGATTGAATTATGCTTTATGCACCTCGTTTACCCGTCTCTTCCTACTCCCTCTTCCTGCCTCCTCATATCTCTCTCTCTTTCTCTCCCTATCCTTTATATTTTTAATCTTCCTCCTCTTCCCCTCCCTTCCTTTCAACCTCTTTTTATTCTTCTATTCCATTTCGCCCTCCTTATCTCCTCCCCCTCCCCACCCTATTCCGTCTCCTTCCTTGTCCTCGCGTTTCTCTCTCTTTCTCCCTCTCTCTCTCTTTCTCTTTCTCTCTCTCTCTCCCCTCTTCTGTTCCTGATATAACAACACACGATAACAATGACTGGACGAGACTAAAGGAGAATACTTTCAATTTTTTTTTACAACACTGATAGAAGATTCGGGGGAAAATATGTTATCACCTTGACCTGGTTCGCCTCCGGTAACTTCTCTCTCCATCTTTTCTTCTTCCTCCTCCTCCTCCTCCTCCTCCTCCTGCTCCTCCTCCTCCTTTAATCTCTCTTTTCTCCTCCTTCTTCCTCCTGCACCTGTTTGATTGAAGCCGAAGGGATCAAGGTGCCGTAAGATTCAGTATAAACCACATACAACGCACAATACGAATTACTACGGAGTCACCATACAAAAGAGTACCCACATTATGCCCATGTATCGTATTCATTTATGTCAGATTTCCGGCGAACGCGAAACAGTCCCGCAGGTGGAGACACTTATCGTTAGTGACAAAACAATGTATGAAAGATGTCAGTGTACGTCCGTGTTTCTGGCCCTCCGCTCTTCCGCTGGACGAGGGCCGCCTCTGGTCGCCGCGTCCTGGCTCTTGCTGTCACCCACGTGGAAACAAAGAAAAAATGAAAAAAAATATATTCTACACGACTAGTTAGTTTACGGCTGATTGTGGACTGTGGACTGTTAATGAGCTACTGCATGTCATGGCCATCCTGGGTACTGTATCTTGCTCGCTCGCACGCGCGCGCGCTCCGCCCCGCCCTCCGGCCCACGGCGACGCCTGGCGGAAGGGCTGCCGCAGAGGCTGACGGAGGGGCGCGCCTGTCCTCCTCCTCCTCCTGCTCCTCCTCACGCCGGCCGCCCACCTGCTCACGAGGCGCTGGAGACGGCGCGGCGACGGCGGCGCTGCCGGCGGTGCGAGCGGCGGCGGTGCTTGGTGGCGGCCTGTCCGGGCTGCTGCTTGGAGGGGGGGGCGGGGGAGTCGACGCCGGGGGAGGGGGCGGGGGGGGCGCTGGTGACGGCAGGGCGCGGGGTCGGAGGACTAGCAGCGGGAGGGGGGGACACGCGCCCGCCCCTCTCGCTCTCCGAGCCCAAAGGGGCGGGGGCGCGGGCGGGGGCGCGGGCGGGCGAGCCCTGGGGACCGTCGTGCGCCGCGGGGTCCCAGGAGGCCGCCAGGGATGGCTGTGGCGTTTGATGCTGTTGCTGACGCTGGTCGAAGTGCTGCTGCTGAGGATCTGGCGCTGAGGAGAGGCGAGGGGCGTGGTCGAGGGCTGCGGAGCCCTGCGGAAGGCCCTCCAGGAGGCCCTCCGGGAGGGGGGACGTGTCCATCACGTCCGGGCGCGGCGGGTCGGGGCGGGCGGCCGAATGTCAGACCTCCGTCGACGACTTCGGCCTCGACTTGCCGCGGCGGCGAGCCAGCGCGGACGCCGCCACGGGGCCCAGGTTGGGCGCGCGCGGGGCGTGGTTGATGGCTCTGGAGGAGGGGGGGGGGGGGGGCGTTAGTGAAAATGGCTCTCGTCCGAACGTAAAAAAATAACATCTGTGACGTCAGTGTCCTCAACAGATAATACTGACTTCGTCCTGAGTAACCTTATCCTATTATCAGTATACATATGACATGACAGCAACCACCAATACTGGGCGTGACGACACTCACCTGTACGTGGCGGAGATGGCGCCCTTGACCAGCGACGCGTCCTGCAGCAGGAGCCTGAGGTTGGGCAGCGCCTCGCGGTGGAGGAGCCACGGGTGCGACACCACCTGGCCCGCGTTGAGCCGCTGGCCGGGGTCCACGTGCAGCATCTGCGTCACCAAATCCTACCGGAGAGAAACCAACACACGTTAAACGTCAAATAAGCACACCACACGCACTCCCCGAACACTTGCGCCGCTGACACCCGCCGGCACAGGCACGACAGACCTCCTCAGGGCATGCTGTGTGTAGCCCTACCCCAGGGAGACCCCCAAATAAATAGCGAGGAAAAGAGTTAAGCCATCATCACGCATTCAACCAAAACCTGCACCATCCGCGTGGCTCCGCCGAATGCCTCGCCCCTCCCCCCACAAAGGCACACCTCAAACCCTCCGAAAACGGTGACGAGCGCCGTCCTCTGACCCAAGACGCGCCAGACAACCGCAGACAGGTAAGGCAGATGAATAAATAGACGACACGCTGGATAAACAAGAACGAGCAAAACCAGCGGCGACTCTGAGGCTGGCGGAAATAGCATTACCTAACACAGGAACTTCAAAGACACAGAGAGGGAGGGGGGGAGGCAGGGAGGGAGGCGGATTACGGTGGGAGCGAGAGGAAGAGGAAGAGAGAAAAGGAATGGAGGGAGAGGGAGAGGGAGAGGGAGGGAGGAAGAGAAAGAAAGAAAGAAAAAGAGTGAGTGAGAGACAGAGAGAGAGAGAGAGAGAGAGTGAGAGACAGAGAGAGAGAGAGAGAATACTCAAAGCTGATCGAAGACACCTGAAATAATTAGCTTCTAAGGCGAGAAAATGGCGGACGAAGAAACAAGGAGAAAAACGAAGGAAAGGGGGGAGGGGGAGGGGGAGGGAGAGTAGCATCCCAAGATCAGTCTTCCCTTAATCTCTCTTCCTCTTTCTTCTAACGTATATTTACTTCACCACCTTCACCTCTCACTCATCTCTTCCTCAACCACTATACATATATATATATATATATATATATATATATATATATATATATATATATATATATATATATATATATATATATATATATACGTCACACACACACACACACACACACATATATAGACTTATGCGCTTATGCGCCTCTTAATAAAGGCTCGCAAGCACAGGCAGAGCGGAGGCAGAGGGGGAAGCGCCGCCACGGGAACAGCGGCCGCCCGTTCGCCGTCGCACATTATTAATTTGGTCAATTAGGGTCATCATTAAAGCCCGGTCAGGCCGAGACTAACGAGCCGGCATCGCTGCCTCGGCTGCACTCCCCCCCCCCCACCTTCCCTCCCTCCCTCCCTCCCTCCTGTCGTTCCTTCCCTCCCTCCCTCCCTCCCTCCACTTACCCCGACCTACCTCTCCATCCCACCCATTTCCAGCAACACAACGACCATTCGTCCTTCGCGCCATCTTCATCTATAATGCATTTGCGCATATAAATTTTAAGACATACATACGGATATAATATATATATATATATATATATATATATATATATATATATATATATATATATATATATATATATATTTACTTATTTACTAACATACATACATGTGTACATATGTATATTTGTATATGTATATTTGTTTATGTAAATATATATGTATGTATATATATGTATATATATGTATATGTATATGTATATGTGTGTGAGTGCGTATGCGTGTAGATATATAGATATATATAGATATATAGATATATATAG